GGAGTTAGTTCATTTACACTTACATATCATAGTCACTCATGGAGGGAAGTCAGGGTAGGAACTCAAGGCAGGAACCTGAACTCAGGAATGGAAACAGAGGCCATGGGAGGAGTGTTCACGCCTTTAGTTCTGGTACTTGGGAGGTAGAGGCAGGAGAGTCTTAATGAGTTTGAGGTCAGCCTCATGTTCAGAGCTAGTTCCAGGGCAGCCAGGGCTACACAGAGAAACCTTGTCTCCAAAAAAATAAAAAAGCAAGAAACTGATTGCTTGCTCCTCCTGATTTGCTCAGCCTGTTTTCTTACAGTATCCATCACCACTGCCCATTGTGAGCTGGGCCCTTCTATATCACTCATTTAAAAAAAGAAGAAGAAGCCCAATAGGCATACTCAGTTCTGATGGGAACATTTTCTCTGTTGAAGCCCCTTCTTAGATGACCCAGTTGTGTCAGGTTGATTGCAGAACACTAGACGCATGCGCGCGCGCGCACGCGCGCACACACACACACACACACACACACACACACACACACACACACACACACACACGCTACTTGCTTAAACCTGTTCACCGATTTGGGGGGATTTGACGTCTTTACTGTTTAGTTTTCTAGTCTATGAACACTTATTTAGGTCTTCACAACTTTTCAGCATATACATTCTTTACATGTTTTATTAGATTTCTCTCATTTTTCCTTTTCATTTCTGAGTTATCATAGATATTTTTGTTTATTTTTGCTGTACTGGTGATTGAATTCAGGGTCTCAAAAATACTAGGCAAGAACTTCACCACTTCTAGACTGAATTTTGCTAAGTTGTCTAGGCTGGCCACAGACTTGGAATGTCTACTCAGCCTCTTGAGTAGCTGAGGATTACAAGTGTGCACTGTCACACCCAATATGTGTTTTTAATTTTGGTGCTCATGTGTTCATTATTCTTATAGAGCTTTGGTTGGTTTTTGCAGATTGGGCTTGTGTTCTGAAGTCTAGCTTCATGCTGTGATAAGAACTTGGAGCACCATCTACTTTGCAGGCCAAAGCCAGGGTGTGGTGGTGGATGGTGGTCTCTTGAGTCCTGAGGGTAAATCCAGATTGTGCAATAGTGAGACCTGTCTCAAAAAAATTAAACATTCAACAAAATTACTTTGTTTGGATTATCCAAAGGGGAAGTTCAAGTCTGTATAGGAACAGTCATTACTAACTTGAGTTTTAATTTCTTTATTTATGTAGTAACTTAAGGCTTTAGAACCATGTTATTTCCAATGGTTTTTCATTTCATAACCTTTTATTTTTTGAGATATGGTCTCATGGCAGCCAAACGTGACAGTATTTTTCTGTGATCCTTTTCTGTGATCCTTGTGTCAGCCTCCTAAGTGCCAGGACTATTGGCATGAACCACCACTTCCATCTCTTAATAATATTTTTTAAACAGTATTAGATGATTTGTTTGTTTTTATGAATTCTTTGGCATTGTCTCTGCAGTCGTGAGTCTCCAAAGGAAGATTTGTTTTATTTCTCCTTTCTGATCTTCTGATCTGATCCTTCCCTTCCTCCCTCTCTGAATGGAGCATCCAGTGGTGAGAGGGTAGCTTTTCACTGTTGTTGATTTTCACTTGACAGTAAATAAATAGCTGTTCCCTTGTCTTTAAATGTGGCTTTAGTTGTTGGGTTTTTGTGTATGCTGTATCAAGCTGAGGAGTTTCCCTTCTGTTTCTGTTTTTCTGTAAATGTTTGTCATGAATGGATATTAAAGTTTGCTAAAAGTTTTTTTTTTTTTTTTTTTGGTATTTGTTCATGATGTTTTTAAGCTTGTTAATGTGGATTATATGGATGAATTTTAAGTATCAAACGATACTTGTATCATGGACAATTAATTATCACTTGATCCTGGAACATTAAGTCTCTTTAAATACTGCTAATTATTTTTGTTTATATTTTACTAGGAGTTTTTGTATCTATATTTCCAAAGTATATTGGCAAGTAGTTCTTTTGGGGGTGGCATTTTTAAATTTTGAATTTATTTTGTTAGAGGGCTTTTCAAATATCCCTGTGTTGGGTATATTGTGGTGATTTGTGTTTGGGAAGAACTTGTCTGATTCTTCTAAGTAATCAAATTTGCATGTATAGAGTTACTTGTGGTATTCCCTGTTACCCCTTTTATCCTGTGGTATCTCCTCTCCATTGCCCTGTTTCTCCCTCCCTCAGTCTTTCCTTCCTCATTCTAAATATGCACCACTATCTTTTATTTTCTTTTTTTCTGAAGGAGGAGAGGGCTTGTAGCCCAGGCTGTCTTTGAACTCCATATTTATTGGAGAATGACCTTGAACATCTGATCTTCTTGCCAGGATAACAGACAGGTGTGTACTGCCATTATATGGTACTGGTGATTGAACCCAAGACCTCATGTGTGCTAGCTGAGCATTCTACCAATGGAAGTATATCTCCAACTCCTGTTGATTTTTTTTTTTTTTTTTTTTTTAATAAGACAGGTCTCTCTTTGTAACCCTGGCTGTCTTAGAATCCATTATATAAAAGCAAGCTGGCCTCAAACTCATAGAGATCCGCCTGCCTCTGCCTCTGCCTCCTGTTGCTACAAGTAAATATAAAGAAAAGATACTTATTAACTCTTAGTTTTAGAAGCTGATAGAAAATTCTAGATTTATGCAGTCCCATTGGTTTTTACTCTGTATTCCCGTTGACTACAGCGAATATGGCAAATGGCATGTGTGTTACGAGAGGAACACAAGGTAAACTGAAGGCAAAAGAATGTATGTGCCAGGGCCACTTGGCAGCTCATTGAGAACCCATTAGAACAACATTAATCTCTTCCAAGGCTGCACATCTGACATAATTAACTTCCATTAGGCCTCAACTCTTAAGGTTCCATTTAGTACTTTCATATTATAAACTAAACCTCTTTGAACCCTTACAAGACAAAGTTTTTGACACACATTTTGAGCTACTGATTTCTAGTTTGATTCCAGCTGGTAAAATGGCTACAGTTGTTCACATCTCATACCAGGTTTGCTTATGAGAAAAAAAAAAAAATCTAAAACAATTTCTTACTGTTTTTCAAGAACCATATCTTTTCTCCGAAGGCTCTTTTCCTTGCATTTAATTGGCCTTAAAAGTTCAGTTTGCCAGCCCTACAGACTACAGCCAGGATATCTGAATCTTCTTCGAATCCCCCATGACAGCGCCCCTTACCAGCAGGAAGTAGTTTGGAAAGAATGATGCCCAAATTCCCAAATATTGTGTATAAATGTTTGTTTTCTTTTAATTGGACTTTGTTATATAAAATTAAATAAAATAATAAAAAAGTTCAGTTTGCTTGTAATTTTTTTCTTTTGAAATGATGTATATAAACAAATATAATTTCTTCTTGATTTTAGTAGAATTTGCCTGTAAAATCTTCTTGCCTTGGTATTGACAATATAGGAAGATTCTTTAATACTAACTCAATTATTTTTTCACATAATTTCATCACTGTATTTCATTATTTTCAAATTTAGTTATAAGGTAGGTTGTGTTGCCATTCTCTTTGACTGGTTGCAGGATGTAGTTGTGCTTCCTGATATTTGCATGTATTTTTCCTTTGTTTTATTGATTAATATAGCCAGAATTGTTTAATTAGAAGGGGAGTGACTAGATTAACCCAAGTGCTAAACACTCTTCTACCGCTGGGTTATGATTGGTAGCCCTGATTTTAACTAAACATCTTCTTTTTTTTTTTTGCCAGTTACATGAAAGTTTTAAATAATTTTTAAGCCAGTTCACACAGCAATGGTCTTTATCCCCTCCCTCCCTCCCTTTCTGTTTGTTTGTTTGGTTTTGGTTTTGAAACAGGGTTTCTCCATGTAGTCATGGCTGTCCCGGAACCCTCAAACTCACAGAGATCCACTTGCTTCTGCCTCCCAAGTGCTGGGATTAAATGTGTGTGCCACCACTGCCCAGCTATTTTTAACATTTTTAAATTCAGAAAACTTTAAATTATTATTTGTGTGTGGTATATATGTGTCATATGAAGTTACTAGGGGTTGTCAGCTGCCTGAGGATTGGTACTCTGAAACAAATCTCAGTCCTCTGGAAAAGCAGGAAGTGCTTTTCATACACATTTATCAGTGTCCTTGGTTCTCAATATGAAGAGTGGCATAAAAGATATAAGATATATAGCATAGGCTAGCCTCAAAGTTGTGATGCTCTTACCTCAGCCTCCAAATGCTGAAATTAACAGATTAATCTTTCTTTAGCCCAATAGTGATAATTTCACATGTTGCATTTATATTCATGTTTAGAAGGAACACTTTATATGTGCCTGTTATATCACACTTACTAATATAATGTCAGTTATTCTCTAACCTTGATAATGTTTTTGTCTGATTGTTTTATTATTGAGGTAAATATGTTAAAGATTATCCTTTATAATAATGGATACCAATATATTTTAATTTTGTGCTTTCTGACTATTTGGGAAGGAAAATGTGTTCAGAGAATGTCTCTGTCATTTGGTACATAAAAGTTTTATTTTATTAAGGAGGACTTTGAATCATAATGTATAGTGATTTTCATTGCTAATGGTGGTTTAAATTGTAAAGTTAGTTTATGTAACTCCATATAGAAACCATGCTGTTATGTGTTTTTCATATACCACTTTTAACTCTTTGATGTTCTTAGATTTTTTTTTTTGTAGTATTGGGAGTTGAACTCAGAGCCAATCATATGCTAGGCATATACTCTACTGCTGAACTATATACAGCTTCAGCCTCTGTCTCTTGTTTTGTATATTGGTTTTGAGATAAGGTCTTACTATGTAGCTCAGTCTAGCTTCAAACTCAGTATGTAGCCAAGGTTGGCCTTAAACTTGTGAAGGTCCTCTTACCTCAGCCTTTTGAATGTTTGGATTGTAGATATCTGTGCTTTTAAATGTTTAAGCATGTCCTTTTGGAAAAACATGTAGAAAGTTAGTACTTCAGCAACATGTAAAAACATGTTCTATGTGTTACAGTACTAAAGCTGCTGAAAGATGGCTGAAGAGACAGTGGTGGTGGCCAAATTTGACTATGTGGCACAGCAGGAGCAGGAGCTGGATATCAAGAAGAATGAGAGGTTATGGCTTCTGGATGATTCTAAATCCTGGTGGCGAGTTCGGAATTCCATGAATAAAACAGGCTTTGTCCCTTCCAACTATGTGGAAAGAAAAAACAGTGCTCGGAAAGCATCTATTGTTAAGAATCTGAAGGACACCTTAGGTAAGTTGTAAGTTGTTTGACATTGAAAGAAAACACCAGCTTTCATTTTAGATGGGTTCTGGAGCTTAGTTCTTTAAACACAATCCTTAAGGCAGTGTGCAGAGTTGTCTGGGAAAAGCCAGAACTGTCATGTTAGCTAGGTATGTAAGTTGAGTTTTAAGAGCCTAGTGAGGATCCTCTTTGCAGTTTTATATAACTCTAGGCCCACATTCAAATGGCACTAATGAGCAGAACTAACTTTGACCTTCTCGCAACAGCTTCTTGAGTAGTAAATACCTCATGGAGTTTTGATTTACAGAAAATTTGCCTCAATTGAGATAGGGAAAAGTACATGAAAAGAGGGGTTTTTTTTAGGGGGGGAGGATTTCCTCTGTATTGCTTTGGAGTCTGTCTGTCCTGGAACTAGCACTGTAGACCATGCTCACCTCGAACTCACAGAGATCTACCTGCCTCTGCCTCTCTGCCTCCTGAGTGCTGGGACTAAAGGCATGTGCCACCAACGCCTGGCTCTGAAAAGAGTTTTATACCAGTGGGTCATTGCTGTGTATTTGCATCTGTAGAACCGGTCACTTTCCTATTTTGTTGTCATTACCTTTCTTTCTGTTTATCTTTGTTTTAAATTTTTGCTGGCCTCTATTAGGGCCAGAGGCAGAGGAACCTCCTTCACCCTGACCCTGGTTAAACTAAAGGAAGGAAGGAAGGTGAAGACTGACCTCCTCCCCTTTCTTAATTTAACTTTCCTTGATGGACAGGAAGGAATTGGGAGGTACAGACATTTAATTTTGGTGTTCAAGGAGACATGCTATTGCTTGTTTGTAAAAAGGGGGAAATGTTTTCTTGGAGACAGTTTGGGGCTAGCATGACTGACATTATTATTAAACAGTATTTAAAATTCTTAATGCACAATAATTGTTGGCAATATAAATGTTTAATTTTTAACTTGTAAGATACAAAAGATAAAATGTAGTACAATTCAAACAACAGTGAAATACTGATTTTTTTTTATAGTTCCTACATGAAGACATTTCTGGTATACTCAATATTTTAATATCTGCAGTCAATGTGGCATTTGACCAGTTAACTTCTTGTCTTTTTTGGGAACCTCTGTTAACTTTAATTACTACAGTTGTGGCTGTCTGCATTCCCCAAAGTTTGGAAATGCTACATTAAATTACTGATTTTTGATGAAAATAATGTTGCAAATCTAGGTTTTGTATCAAATAATCTAACTCCCCTCTTTTTCCCCAGAATATCTGCACCCCATTTTGTACCTTAAATCCCAAATAATTTAATGAATTTGTTTCACAGTTGTGAAACAATTGCTAGTAGAGACATTGTCTGAAAGTTAAGGAAAAAGAGGAGTTATAGGAAAAGAAGAATGTATATATACATTTTTAACTATTAGAAATACAACAACTTTAATATTTTCTTTGAAAATGAGTGAATTGTAACTCACATTTTTGCTGCCACCATGAGATACTTGTTGTACAAATTATTTTATGGTTTAAGGAGAAACAGTATTGGAAAGAGAAGCCTTGGTTTTGAAAATGTTTCTATTGCTTGGGTGTGGGCCAGGTCACATGGATTGGGTGTGGGAAGTTTCAGGGTTACAGAGCAGACCAGGAAGCTCACTGAAATTATCCCGGAGCTGTGTCAACAAACTCCCGAAAAGAGAACACAGAATTTTTTATTCAAAATGGATTGGTTAAACATCTTTAAAGGGATTTTCAGTAAGTTATTCTGTTTATTAAGTCCATCATTTTCTTGTTATATGTTTTATGTTGGATTATTTTTTTTTCCTTTTGTGAATTAAGAAGAAAACTATATGTCGAGAACTCAGTGTGTGTATATAAGCTGGTACTTTATGTTGTTTATGTAACGTAAGATAAATGACTGGTAGTCTTTTCAGTGCTATTAATTTGATCTGGTAAATAATTTTAAAGTGTTTCATCATGAATGCTTAATAAATTAGGAGAGAATATACATGATTTGGATGTGATGTAGATTATTGTAGTTTAGTAACTGTAGAACCTAGCACAGGCATTTGAAGTGAAATGAGTCAGTTGTGAATAAATTCTTTTACTCTTGACCTTTAAAGTAAGTTTTTTTTTTTTTTTTAAACTAGGTTTTACTTGAGATTTTTTTGGATTAATGTCAAGATAATATTTAATAAGAATTCTAATAAACTTAAGTACTGATTTATATAAGTAAAATACTGTTCTAATTTAGCTCTGCTGGCGGCATGTTTATGATAATCATGTGCTTGATTGGATTTCTTTGAATATTTGCTAAGTGTACAACCATGTAGAAATTATCCTAGAAAACACGCGCGCGCGCGCACACACGCGCACACACACACACACACACACACACACACACATACACACACAGCCTAAGGAAACAAAGTATAACCTAGTGAGAGATCCCAAGGGAAAGGGCAAAACAAAAGAGTAAGCACTTTATTGGAAAAGAATGTGGTTTTTGTAATTCGTGGGCTCCTTTGTTTCCTTACTTAGCTTTGATGGCAGTGGTTCTGGGCTATCTCTTCTAACTCCTAACTCCTATTTACTTTTTAGAGAGCAAATACATTTTTAGATCTTTGAAGCTCCAGTTTTAAAGTTAATATTCTTTAAACATGGTGTGTGTGTGTGGGGTATATGTGTATAGAGGTGAAATGATAAAAGGAGATGCCATCCTCAGGAACACCATCCACCTCTTTCTAAGGGGACAAGTTTGGTCTGGAGCTCACTGACTAAGCTACATTGGCTGACCAGCAAGCAAGCTGAACGATTGAGTTACCATACTTGGCATTTTTCCTTTTTTACACTGGTTCTGGAGAGCCAGCCTAGACTCTTATGCTTGTAAGGCATACTGAGGCTTCCCTTTAGCTCTTTATTCATTAATTTATGAACATATTTTTAATGGAGAATCTAATGCAAGCTGTACAAAAAATGAACTTCATGGGCTGGCAAGATCGCTTAGCATTTGCCATCAAGCCTGACAACTCAAATTCAATCCCCAGAGCCCATGTGGTGGAAGGAAAGAACTGATCCCTACAAATTCTCAGAACTCAACATATTCATGTGCACATACATACACACACACCAAAATAAATGAACGGATAATGTAATAAAGTCATTTTTAATTTATATGAAATACTAAGTCTCATAGAATCTTGTGGGGAGTTAGATGATAGCCATTCATTAATAATGTAGTAGGCTTCAGTTTAGATGTAATTATTAACAAACCAGAAATGGTGTTAAAAGATCACATACATCTATAAAGCTTATATTATTGAACAGTGATTCAGTGTATCAACTTACAAATTGAGTGAAGAGTTGTTCTCTCTACTGGGTCTTAGGAATTTGACAGTTAATCTTAACTGCATCTGTAGTCCAAGAGCTAAGATTTTAGTTTTGTAAACAAAATAACTCCTTTTCTGAATCCCTGTAATATTCATGTTTATTTTACTAGCACCTTGTCAGTAGAGACAGGCTATTCATTCACTTATTTCTGAATGGACTTGGAAAATAGTGAAAACAGCATTATGTATTTGTTGTTTGGTAGCCAGAATACTTTGAAAACTAAAATTACAATGTTTATCATCTTAGATAAAACTATTATAAGCTGTGATTTATCTCATATAGGTGAACAGATAAAGTACAAAATAAAAATCTGTAATGGAAAGAATAGCATATATTTGTATTTATAATAATTTAGTTCTACTCCTAAATAAACTGTGTACTATCCCTGTAGCCTAATATGTGTGTGACTAAACTTTTTATTTCCTGTTTGGGTAAAGAAAACAGTTGGGAAAGACTTAGATAATCCTGGAAAGTACCTTCAAACTCTAGAAGTCTTACAGTCTTGGCAATCAAATAATTGTGTTCTGTGTGTCATGGGAATCGGGGAAGTTCACAAGGGAGAAATTGGTTTTGAAAAAATGAGAATGTAAGAACAGAGTGAGATGACAGTTCACTGAGAAATCAGAGGCAACAGTAGCAGTTTCTTTGTCCATTCTGTTGAACATTTACTTAGTGATTCGGATGAAGGAAGACAGATACTGGGAGCAATAAAAGATAAGAATCAGCCTGGGAATGGCTGACACAAAGAAAATAATTTAGTAAGAAGTGCTGTGGTTAAGTAGGTGCAAAAATCCTTTGTGACCTTTATTCAAGTCTAGTGCTCAGGTGAGGGGATGTAGTGGGTTCCTTAAATTTGTTCTGGCCAGTTAAAGTGGCAGTTTGGCCACTTGGGATCTGATGCTTCCAGGTTCTGGCATCAAGCTTATTAGGAATTTGAAATTGGTTTATATAAGGAGTTATTGGTACAAAGATTTGCTTGAGAAGGAAAAAACACTATCACACAAAGATCATGTTCACAGTTCTTACTCAGATTCTTTAAAGTAAGTCTTTGCTATGTAGACCAGGCTGGCCTGGAACTCAGAGATCTGCCTGCCCCTGCTTCTATAGAGTGCTGAGATTCAAGGAGTGTACCACTGTACTTAGTTGGTTCTTAAAAACTTTTGAGGAACTTAGAATGCATTGTTTTTGTTAAAGCCATTGCTGGAGGGGACTGGAGAGATGGCTCAGTGGTTGAGAACACTGACTGCTCTTCCAGAGGTCCTGGGTTCAATTCCTAGCACCGACATGGAGGCTCACAACCCTTTATAACTAGTTCTGTGGGATCTAATGTCTCCTTGTGTGCAGACACATACATGTGGACATTTAATATACCCATATACATTTAATAAAAAATCTTTAGCTGGATGTGGTGGCACACCCCTTTTAATCCCAGCACCTGGGGGGGGGGGCAAAGGCAGGCGAATCTCTTAGTTTGAGGACAGCCAGGGCTACACAGTGAGACCCTGTCACAAGCCCTCCTCTCCCCCCCAAAATTGCTAGAGGAGTAGAGAAGACAAAATGAGGGACAAGAAGCTATACAAACTTTTTTTTGTAAGGTAACAAAACAAAACAAAAAACAAAACCACAACTGCTTCA